AAGTGTCAGGACAGACATAAATTGTTCCATGACAATATAGAATTCAAATGAACATTTCTGGTCTCAAAAAATACTGATTCAAGTAAAGATTCAAGTGATAGACAATTAAAAATATTTGTTTACATTGGAGTAAACTTTTAAAATGCTTTTTTCTCATGTTCTACTTTTTCATGTATCTATATGTAAATGTGAATGTGTGAGTGTATGAATGTGTGTGTGTGTGTATGTGTGTGTGTGTAGGGTGTGAATTTTGGGGTTGTGTCTCCAGACTCCTCGAACCACCTGTAGGTCTCAAAGGTCACACTGTGGTGATGTAAACAAGCAAAGTGGGCACACTTCCAGATTGCAAAACAACTCACCCACCAATGCCTACAGAAAACCTCACTTTGTGGCCCCGGTCTCACTGCCACCTACGACCATCGGTCTGTAGTGGGGGAGGGGCACACGGAGGTAGCTATGTCGCCTTTACGATCTGCGGCTGGTTGGATGGTGTCTACTCTGGGCCACTGTTCTGATCCCTCTGTGTCCACTCCAGCAGTCCAGTGACCCTGTACAGTGTGTGCCCTTGGTTCTGGAAAACAACCTTATAGTCAAATTAAAAACAACAGAGATTGTGAATGAGATTGTTTTTCTCCCTAAAGTCAAAACAATTTTGGAGCGCTCTGGGTTTTCCCACATGCGCTATGTAAATAAAGATTACTTATTATCTTACTAATGATGACATTTTTAAGACCAGAAACTCTTAATATAAAAAAACAAGACTCAAATCTCAAAAAACCTTTAAACTTTAAAATATGTGTACTTTTGTACTGTGTGATTAATTATCTTGCACATTTTAGAGCCAGTCTCCTCTGCTGTGGCATCAGCAGCAGTAAGGTCAGGCGTGTAGTCAAAACAAAAACATCACCGCTTGCAATGGGTGAATTGGGTAGTTTGACTTAATAATACTTTTACAGCTAATTCCTAATTCCCTCTTTCTTTTTAGACGAAGTCTATAATCAATAATCACTTTTAACACAGATTCTAATTTAAATGTTTGAAAAACGGCTTTTGTAACTAAAATAAAAAATACATGAAAAAATTCTCACTAACAGCTATGAAATATCAGATACAATAATGGACTCACAAAATAAGCAGCAGATTTAAAAAGAAAAGCAAAACTTTAGCACTAATATTTGGGTTTCAAAAAACATATAATATTCAAAACTTATTCACTAATGGTGTTTAAAAACGTTTAACTGTGTCTAACACAATGTTCAAATGGCAAATTTCGCAATTTTAACGGAATAAAAACTATGAAAAGCCAAAATCCTAAAGCAGTAGCTTTGTTCTGATTCAGAGCCAGAGCAGCGAAGGAGGGGGCCGTTTCCCTGACAACGGCAGCAAGATAGTGCGACGCACACACAGGCAAAAAGATACAGAAGAAGAACTTTCAAGATTACTTTTTTAAGCAAATATAACTGATGTTGTTCTTTATACTTTTGTCATCCAAGTCTAGAAGTGATCACTTTCCACACTAGTAACAAAAGGCACTCTTGTCTTTAACGTTTACGCTTCTATTTTATTGAGGTAGCAAACTAATTTCAACTCAAAATCTCTTTCTAAAAAACAAAAAACAACTGTTGGATACAACCCTCTCATAGCTTAACTGTAGATATAACTCGGCAAAAAATGTAAATAACTCACGAAAGCTCTCATAGCTCAACTTTAGATAAAACTCTGCATTCTCCGGTGAACTCTGTTCACTCCAAAAACAAACAAACTAAAAAACAGAAAAACTCCCTTTTTATGTATGCAATTTAAACCGTGATCACTGAAATATTGCGCTTCTTTACTTTTGTCATTTATCAGCCTGAAATTTGTCAATTTCAAAGCTTTTGTAACAAAGGCCTCTTTAACACATTTCCCTTTTTATTGCTTTTATTATTACACCATGGTTTCACTAAGGATCCTACACTTTATCTTTTCTCAAAGGGACTCTAACCCCGAAAACGTTTTCTCAAAGGGACTCTAACCCTGAAGCTTCTTCTCAAAGGGACTCTAACCCCGAGACTTCTTCTCAAAGGGACTCTAACCCCGAGACTTCTTCTCAAAGGGACTCTAACCCCGAGACTTCTTCTCAAAGGGACTCTAACCCCGAGACTTCTTCTCAAAGGGACTCTAAACCCGAGACTTCTTCTCAAAGGGACTCTAACCCCGAGACTTCTTCTCAAAGGGACTCTAACCCCGAGACTTCTTCTCAAAGGGACTCTAACCCCGAGACTTCTTCTCAAAGGGACTCTAACCCCGAGACTTTACTCAAAGGGACTCTAACCCCGAGACTTCTTCTCAAAGGGACTCTAACCCCGAGACTTCTTCTCAAAGGGACTCTAACCCCGAGACTTTACTCAAAGGGACTCTAACCCCGAGACTTCTTCTCAAAGGGACTCTAACCCCGAGACTTCTTCTCAAAGGGACTCTAACCCCGAGACTTCTTCTCAAATACAATTTAGAGAGTTTGACAGACCCCAAAAACAGACCAAAATTTAGCTAATATCCAATTATGCAGACTTTAGATATAAAAAGGTGTCTGCTTACCATATTCTTGTCAAACCGGTTCCAAGGACTGTCCGAGAGGTCTGCCAACCTCTTTTCCGCGTCGGAATATTCAATTTAAAAAACAAAAGTGACAGAAGCGACAAGAAGCAGCCAGGAACAGCTCTTCCAGCCTGCTGGAATCTCCGCTCCCAGACACAGCATGCCGATCTCTCACGCAGAGGAAAAGAAACAGAGCAAGCTCCCTCAAAACAATCCAGAGAATGGCACACACTGAGCCGCGCATTCTCCACCAAATCTGTCAGGATGAAGCAGACAGAGACGGATCGTGGTGTGCCAAACTCTGGAAGTTTATTTAAGTTTCTCTCAAGTTCCACTGGTTTACCCTGTTTCTTTCTCCCAGACAGAATAAAGGCAGTACACAGTTTATATAGTCATTGTCACGTCACACATCGAAAGACATACGTGTCACAAAGAGACAGTCAAATCATAGTCATAACATGGAGTCCTTGTAGAGTCCTTGTACAGTCCTGCACGTAGGCCATATTGCTATCTAATACTAACAGGCTTTTGTGAGGTTCGGGATACAGCGACAAATGAGCCATGATAATGAGGGAAAACCCAGAGGAGCAAATGCAGCGAAGAACAGTAAACAAAGACACCATCTGCACGTTTTAAGCTCACGCAGTCATTTGTGTTCACTTTTAATGATCGCTTTTTCGTGCCTTTGTTTTCACCTGTGCTGTATACGGCTCCCTACAAAGCCTGGGGAATTATGAGGATATTGAAATATACATAAGTCAATATCATTGGAATTTTGCGGTTGGAAATACATATGTTAATAAGTAAACATGTTACTCTGCGAGATAGAGATATTGAGCAGACAGCAACAACATCCCAGGATCTGCACATTGTCAATTCAATCCATTTACAAGTCAGTGGAAAGAAAGAGCATTCTTAGTTTAAACTCGATGCAGTCACGTGGTTAAAAGCATACTCCATCGCAAGTACGACAACTGCGGTCTGTTTTTGAACTTGTTGAATGTTGTAGGACTTTTTTGCAGTCTTATGGGAAAATGAGTCATTTTTGAAAGAGAATATGATAATGATTAGATTTTACAAACCTTTCCCCCGGCCTCCTGCAGTCTGATTTTTCTATTTTTTATTATGACAGTCTATATAATAATTTCTTGTACGCATTATATAAAGTTTTGTTTTGGACACACATGGCTCATGTACATTAAAAAGACTTGGCAGGAACTTACAAGGCAAGGACCTCCAAATAATACACGTAATCCGGTGTATTACTTCAACTGATCTGTATTATTGTAAAACTGCTCTGTTTTCTAACTGAAGAGACACATTCTTTAGATGTGCACAGAGGCCGCACTGAGACGAGCATACTCATAATTAATTGATGGCTTGAATAAAGTAAAATAATTGACCAATAGCAGTAATATGATTATTTCTCATATGCTCTTTTCCATCACTGCTAGATGTTGGAATTTCATTCATGGGAACATCAATTAACCACCAAATGAAAAAGGTTGGATTTGAATGAATATTTTCCCACAAGCAGCTCGTTCAGTACATGTGGCTTAATATTACAGATACATTTCAGGTATTTAGAGTACAGTCGATCAGAAAGCCATTTATATTTATTTTTAACGTATTAATGTATTAACGCTACATGATGCACCTAAGGCTAACTTCACATAGATACATTCACACCATTTACATTTGTTTTTGTCCTGCTCTGCTCCAAAGAAATGTGGCAAAACCAGTGGAGTCGTTTCTAGTCAAGGAAATGTTTTTTCAATATGCTTTTTACTGCAATTGGCTAATAAATTCTTGTATATTGTATCTAAATCAATCCAAGTCATTCTAAAGATACTGTTTTTCATTCTGCCTTTACCGTCTTTATAACTGTAAACTGTTTTGTAATAAACAGTGCTCATTGTAGAAGCTGACAGCAGCATGTATAAAGGGGTGAGGAGGCGGAGAGGGCGCCTGCGGCTGCTCAGACTGGCCTGGATTTTCCTCCTCATGAAGCGGCCCAACACTGAAGCTACTTTTTCCCGTTTATGGCTGTAATAAAAAAGTGTTTTTGATTAATCAATCAGTTAGATCCCAAAATGTCTATGAATATGTGTTTTTTTTTGTTAATGCATGACTAAAACAAAGCTCAAGTGATACCCCTTCATGGAGACAACTTGTATAAACACATTTTAATTTCTATCTGCAGTCATTATAGAATTATCTATCTTGTTTTTTGTTTCAATGTCATAAAACCTTTCCAATTAGCTATAATCTATAATCTATTAGTTACAAGTCATCCTTTTCATTTTTTTGTGTCTTGAAAGTTAGGTACCTCAGCTTTAATAGCCATATTTGTCCACGCACAGAGTCCTCACTCACGCCTCACTGCTCTGTGTGTGTGTGTGTGTGTGTGTGTGTTTTGACAGCCTGGGCATGGAGCACGACGGCCAGGGGAACCGCTGCGGGGATGAGACGTCCATGGGCAGCGTCATGGCTCCGCTGGTGCAGGCCGCCTTCCACAGATACCACTGGTCCATGTGCAGCGGCCAGGAGCTGCGCAGATACATACAGTGAGTTCACATATGTGTCAGTGCGGATCAGCGCGCTCTCTCCCTGTCCCGCGGCAAACCCCCCCCCCCCCCCCCCCCCCGTTCCCACCGACCCCCTTTCCACAGCGCTGCGCATCCCCTGGGCCCAGAAGAAGACAGGCTTTCATTTGTCTGATTCGCAAAACGCCTGAGAGAGAGAAGAGAGACAATATGAGGAGGAAAAGTTTTCTAGAAGAAAGACTATTCAATTAAATTCTATTAAATGTATTATTGTACAGCCCTAAATGTATAGCCCTAAATCACTACAGTAATTATTGCGGAGGACTTTACAAAGCTTTTGATTCGCCAAGACAAAACTAAAAAAACTAGGGCTGTCAAAATTATCGCGTTAACGCATGGTAGGCAGGCATTAGTTAGCATTAGCACAACTTCTTATAAGCTGTACAGTGATCACTGATGAAATGGTACAAAAGCAAAAATATACAGTACAAAAACGGAACGATTACCGCTAGTTTCGCGTCCAAAGTTAGTCCGAGGCGGTCAGCACCTGCAGGTCATCTACGATGTAGTTAGCTATGTTCACCCAAGCTTGATTTCTTTTTTTATAATATTTTTGCTTTCCTTTTCTCTTCTCTTTCTCACTGTTGCGTCTTTTGGGCTATTTTACAGCTGTGTATGCAGTTACAGCCAGAGGAGTTAGCCACCTTCTCCTACCATGCTGCAGTTGTTTGCATGCGCTGCAGACGCTAGAGGGGGCGTGGCCTAGGAGAACGAGTGTCATGCAAAGTTTCTATTCAGCACTTTTTATGGCCTGAATTCATACATAGCTGAATCAATGAACTCAATTTTTGGGAGTAACTCAAATGCGACTAATAACTGTAAAATAACAGCAATAATATTTGGAGTAACTCAGTAATACTTCTATTTCAACAAAGCATGAAGCATGAAGCACTTTTCAAGAAAATGCAAGGCAAGTTTATTTGTGTCGTACAGTTCACACACAAGGCAACTCAACATGACATATTTTCATTCACTCCAAATAAGCTTATGGTGGTTGCTGAGGGTTACGAGTTCACTAATTTATGCCGTAGGCCCATCCGACCACCACACGCACACACACACACACACACACACACACACATACGCAATGTGGGAGAAATATATACAAGTTTTAAAAAGACATACAACTAGACCTTTGGAAATCATTTGGGCTTAGTTCAACTCGTCATTCTTGTCGAGTCGTTATTTTTGGTGCCTGTGGTTTGAAAGAAATGTGAAGGAGGCTATGTATAAACAATCTATGAGACCTGCCCTGAATGCATGTTTCCAGCTCTCTCACCCCTGGGGCAGAGCTGTTCACGGGATGCCCCAGGTCTTGCCTCTCATGACTACATCCAGAGCCATCCTAGTCACCAGAATATACCCTGAAGAAGCAATCTGGTTGGTAGCAAATCTTCAGCTTCCAAACTAAATAAGTCCAGCTGTACCTTATTTTTCTACTTTGAATAGTAGTCACCTGGATATGTCTTAAAATCTTTGCCATTCAATGTGGGTGAAGTGTCTTGCCTGAGGACACAAAAACAGTTTGGCATTTTACAGCCTCGTGCAGCTGCCCAGAGGTCTTCCATCACAGCACTAACCAGGCCCTGCCCTGCTTAGCTTCTGAGTTCTGACAGGAATGGGTCAAGCCTGACTAGAGGTGACATTATAGCAGCATAAGAAAAGAAAAAAAAGACAATATATCAAGATAAAAGGCTTATATATAGCTCAATCAAAATCTAAAATTGTCACATTACGAAAGGCAACCTCTGCTTTGCTTCATGCATACAACCTTGTTACACTTTCGCAACGCAATCCAATCCAATTATCCCGTTCCGCTTGAGAAAAGACGTAAAAGCCAAATTCTACACGACAGAGTTCAGATATTGCTCCATTGGATAATAAACACAGCTCGCACTTTCACACCATTGCAACAAAATCAATCTTATGTCAGGCAAAGCTCCCTCTCTCCGGGAACATGCCGTTATTGACAGCAACGCATCAAAAGCGACTGACGACAATGGCTCTTACAAATCAATCGTCACACACAGTAATGTTTTTTAGAGCAGCCCGAGGCGATTTGAAGTTGATCCATACCATGAGGACAATCCATATATTCTAATGCGAAAACCTGTTGGAATGTGAATTGTTATTCTGCTGTTTCGGATCTCTATGGCGTGAGAACAGAAACGAGAAAAGGTCATGTTGAATGTCACTTTTCCGTTGTCCCCTAAAGACTTTTATTTTCAAACGTATGTACACCAAAAGACAGAAAACAGCAGACCCCATCTATAAGCCCTAGGCAGCTTCCAAGGTAGCTTCCACGGTGTCGGAAAGATGTGATTTTGTGAATACAGAGATTCTGTATTCGTCCCACAGTGGGGAAATTTCAGTGTTGCAGCGCACAGACAGGACAGTAGTAAGAGCACACAGGGAGCACACAAAATATGCTAAATAAGTAGCTGCTAGGTTTCTTAGCTAGCTGCAAATGCTTCAATAACAGTCCTTCAAGAAAAAAAAGTATGTATATAGTGCAAAGTTGTAGTTTACACTGTACAAATAGGGTACAGTAGATAAAGGCATTCTGTGGAAATTCTGATTGCAGTATTTACTTATTTACAGATGAATTACATGTACAGGCTCAGCAGTTCTCTTTGTACAGTCTGACAGCAGCAATACAACCCGTCACACACACTTTTCTAACCACCTGAAGTCACAACTGCTGAAGTGCAATTGCAGGGATATAAAACCTGTTGGTTGTTCTGAGCGCTGCTGCAGCTGTCAAAAGCCGTGCACATACTGTACAATACGGCTGCAGAGGACACTGAGGGGCAGGACTGAGGGCTACAAAATGTTTAATCTGATTTGGAATAAAGATACATGGGGTTTTGTTACGCTAAGAAATCTGCAAAATTCCGAGGCAGCAAAAGATACCACTGTAACACATGTGATCAAATTTAAACAGCGATACACAATTTGAGAAGTATAACATCAAAACAAGCGCTCACACTCAAACAAGACACTCTCTGACCCTTCACCTCTCCCCCATCACTTTCCCCTGTGTACGGAATCCTAATTGAACATGTTTTTTTATGAATCTGGTAAGTTGTTCCAGAGAATTACTTCTACTACTACTGAGATGCACATTGTGAGAACATTCCCTGGGATTCCACATCCTCCATCTCCTCTCCGTTTCCGTTCTGTTTCTGCTCCGTTGCGACGGATTGATTGCGGCGGCTTTGATTTCCTGGATTAGTCCGCTGTTGATCTCGGCCTCTGTGTCACTCAAATGCAGAGATGAGGAAACTCTTTCACTGAGAATTTCCACTTATAACAGAGAGAGAGGAAGAGATACAGACATCGCCTTATGCACCGAGGCTGTCTGCACTCTCACAAATCATTGGTTTGGCCTTAAATTATGAGGGCTTTTATTTGAGAACTTTAGTTAAGGTTAAGTTATACTCTATTGGCCCCACATTTGCATTAGACCAGCATTTGCATAAAACAATCTATCAGGACCAGCCAGGATCCATCCCCAGGACTACCAGACTTCTGAAACTCCGAATTGCGCACAGGAACTACATGCTGAGATGCTAACCACTCAGCCACCGTGCCGTCCTTGTGCTGTTTGCGCCTGCTCAGCTCTCTCTGATCAAAGCTGACCAGACACGCTCACAAGCGGAGGCAGGATGCTGAGGATGTGGAATCCTTGGGTGACTTGCTTTTGTCTACTCAGTGAGGAATCAATCTCAGTGGGTCTACCTATCGTTAAACATTTGGTAATTCTGACCCGGACCCAGATAAAGCAAAATGAAAATGTGTATCTTGTATGGTCTTAAATCACAACAGTAGTCATCTCGGAGGAGTTTACTCAAGCGTTGTATTCGCCAACACAGATCAGAGAATTAAACAATTCAAACACAAGAAATGAAACAGAAAACACGTTGGTTTTGGTCCATAAGTGTTGATAAATGTTGACTCTATCACTCCCTCCTGCATCGCCAAGGAAAAACTAAAGCCACTAGGAAAAGCGAAGAAGAAAGTCTCAGAAATATCTTACACAAAAATCCCATGAAATATAACAGGTCTAAATACTCATTGTATGTATGTGGTGGAACTTCACTTCAGCCACATTTGAACTTTCAGTGTTTTAAGATTAGGAGAACCTCTATTCATCCCACAGTGGGGAAATTTCAGTCTTGAATATCCGGTTACAGACCATCAGCGATGCGGAACACACAGCACAAGATCAGTGAACAATAACTCTACAACTAAAATATAGTAAAATCTCTTAGTTAAGCATAAAAGAAGCAAGTAGAAAATCTCTAACTTTTAGCATAATAAAGAAGCAACTAAAAGACACTGTATATTCTAGTGCAAGAAATATAAAGTAAATTAATTGTATTAGTATTCATAGCGTTAATAAACAGTGACTAATAATGTTTTGCAATATGCCAGCGTAGAAAATAAAGCTTTCCCGAACTCGGTAGAGCACAAATTAGCCTGGACAAGACTGGGCCCTTATGTATAATCTGTCTGACCAATTAGAACGGGGCCTTGATACAATTACACTGTTGCCTCATAAGTTCCTGCAATACAATATTAGACATTCTTGGACAATGTTTTTCCTTCCGTCAAGCCTCTAACCCGATGAAACCCGGAGAGAATGATGCAGCAACTTGTCCAGTGGCCATGGTAACCGGCCTTTCGACTTGTGTTATGAATCTATTACAGAAAGACACGGAATAATAGAGATAAATGCATAAACAGTTACGCATACATTTGCATCTTGTTTGTGTTGTTTTTCCGCAGCACTTACGACTGCCTGCTCGACGACCCTTTCAAACACGAGTGGCCACAGCTTCCTGAACTCCCCGGGATCAATTACTCCATGGACGAGCAGTGTCGCTTTGACTTCGGGGTGGGATACAAGATCTGCACGTCCGTGAGTACAGCCCCGAGTTCAAAGACGAGAGAGAGAGACTGGACACTGTCGCATGTTCTCACTTCTCAATTCTATGCTCAATTCTAGACCATGGTCGGCGAGGATTACAACACTCACTGACTGTGATGACAACAAATTCTTCCCTCTCCTTCTCTCGAATCTCCCCGCCCCATCTGTCTAAACCAGTGTTTTTCAACCAGTGTGTCGTGGGACTTAGTGCGACTTCAGATGGTATTTAGTGTGCCGTGGGAAATTATTGAATATCATAATGTGAAGTAAAAAAATAGGGTTGGGGTTAGACTAGAAATACTTCTTTGCACTTTTTTGATTTTCTATATAATACATTTTGATGAAAATATCATGGGTGGCACGGTAAGTTACATGTTTGAGGTCAGTTTCAGATTTATTTAAATTTAAAATGTGTGCCATGACTCAAAAAGGTTGGAGAACACTGGTCTAAACTCTCTGCTTTCCAACTATGAGGACATCATGAACTTAGCTGCATCGAGTGTTTCTGTGACGGGGTTCTAGTAGTGGATAAAAATGATGGCGCAGCCAGAGTACTTTTCAATGGTATTATGTTTTTAATTATTCCCAAAATGAAAGAAGAAGAGTGCTCACTGTCCCAGTTTAGGTCAATTCAAATATAAAAATAAAGATATCCTCTGCACATGTAAACAACAGAGGAATAATAATGTATAACATTGTTTGGGAGATGGCTAAAGGCTGGAAACTTTATGGATTGAAAAGCTATGGATGGGAATGGTTAACCAGAGGCCTATTGTGCACCCAATACAAATGGGATGGATGAATAAACTGGGAATAGAAACAGAGCGGTCTGATAAGAAACAGGATTGACAACCAGGTAAGTTATTTTTGAAAGTCATTATTGAAAGTTCATTTTGAGTGTCTTTGCCTCATTCCTTAATTATCTGATTTAAATTATTCAATATTTAATCAGCAACTTATAATTTAAGAGGGCATGGAGGTTTCAAAATATTCAATTTTTGAGCATCTAAGTTTTTGCATCTGTAATTGTGATTTAAAACTTTGGAAAAGGCTGGAAGTGAATGATAAGCAGAAAAGGGAGAAAAGTGAGATACCTTGTGGAGGTCCACATTGAGAGAGGGATCCGCTCCACACTGACGGGTTGTAGATCCAGGACTTAAGCTACAGAACGAGGACCGAGGCCACGCAGCGCAGGACTTGGTCGTAGAACGAGGACGAGTGTGGTGCACAACTGAAGCAGCTCCCAGGTGGGGAGGGGGTGCAGCTCACAAGGCAGGTCGGGCAGGGCAGTCCACAGGTGCAGATGGAGGGGGCAGGTTCAGGGGTCCTGTTGCCGCACCATGAAACAGACAAAGGGACAACGGGTGAATAGCAATGAACAGACTACAGTCAAAATCCTAATAAAGCAGACAGATAAAATAGGAAGGAGGAGAGCATAGTGCTCAAGTTACCATACTTCTCCCAGAAAACTGTCACTTTTTGAAAAGGATATTCCTGATCTCAGCGATCTTGAGCAGGTCACGGCATTTTAGTTACGAGCTCTTAGTGGACTACAACTCCAAGATTCCTCACAGTGTTGCTAGGTTTTGGTTCCTTCGAAGCACGAAACAATATGCTCTGAAGTGCCTCGTCCATGTTCCCTGCCTCCGTCCAAAACACACACACACACGGACCAATGACAGTGGAGCTTCTCTGTGACGCTGGCTGCATAGTGAGACATTTTCAAGGGAGCAGGGATGGCTACGCAAGGGTCTTGCGGTGATCCTTGCTTCGGTCAAGTGACGTCACGTCGCCACCGTAAGCTCTGCGCCACGCAACTATACACTAGGCTTTTCATCAACAAGTAAAGTTATGTGTCATCTAGGGATGTACCGAATCCAGATTTTTGGGGTTCGGCCGAATACCGAATCCACTGGTTAAGATTCTGCCGAAACTGAATACCGAATCCTACTCCATGATTAGATTCACTGTCCTTTACTTGCTGAATCATCATACACCTGTTATGTGTATCCCTGTGTTGTATTTCTGAAATAATTATTCTGAATAAAATGATAAACTGTCTATGTGTTTCCCACATTTTTTCCTCTGAGCTTTTTTCCTGCCATTTCATAAACCTTGATACATATGAGCACAAATCAATAATATAATCTGTATATAGCAACACAAACTGTTTACATGTTTATTTTACATCCGCAAACTGAACTTGCGTGTAAGCGCAGGGTTCGGTTCGGTGCGAAAAAATTCTAAGGTTCGGCCAGAACCCGAACCCTGTCTAAAAACCCAATATTCGGCCGAATCCGAAACCAAATCCTGGATTCGGTACATCCCTAGTGTCATCTACATAGCAGTGGAAGTTAATACCATGCTTTTAAATGATGTTACCTAACAGCAGCCGATCTGAGTACCGATCCTTGTGGCACACCGAATTTTGTTTCTTTTTACAGTATTACAAATGATTCAATCAAAGATACCGTGAGTACTTGCATAAACATTAGATATTTTTCTTAACTATAATTTACACATAACCATAAATGGTCATACATTTAACAGCATTCATGTTCAACGATCTTGTTGTTATAACCATTTATTCTGTATATATAGCTCAAAAGGAGAAGGCAGAAGTAAAAAAAAATGTTTAAACGGCTATTGTTATACTGGTGTTTGTTTAAGAAATCCTTTATTCATCCCATAGCGGAGAAATTTCAGTGTTGCATCACAAGTTACAGAACAGTAGTAATGAGGAGCGCACAGCACAAGAAAAACATGAACAATAACTATACTAATTAATAAATTAAAATACAATCTCTAACTCTAGCATCAAAGAAACAAGTATAAAATATCTATCTTTAACATAACAAAGAAGTATAAAATCTCAAAGTTGTAATGTGAATTTTCATTATCTCCTTTGTGCTTTGGAGGCTGGCTTTAAAAGAGCTCTGTTGTTGTGGTTGTTGTGGTTGTTGTGGGTTTGAGACCGAGTCCTGAGAGACAGAAACTAGACGCTGATGAGTGACAAGGCTGCTTTGTATATTTCATAAAGGTCATTTCATTTGTTTGGTGCCGGTGTCGCGGTATCTGTGCTGCTTTATTGTTTTGGAGTTCACCCAGGAGACACGGCTCCAAAGCGGCTTTAGTTGTACTTGAACTGAATAATAAAATATTATTTGTTTTCTCTTTAGGCCACACTATAGTCCCTATACAGTGTGTGTCTCCTCAATGGAAGAAATACCATAGACCAGGCATGTCAAAATACAAAAATATCTAAAATATAATTATAATTATGATAATAAGAGTAAAATACTTGTATACGTTTGGCCCTTACAGACTCTTATGTTTTAAACCTGGCCCCCGACCAAGATGAGTTTGACACCCTGCTATATACTGTATATAAGGAGTGGACTGTCACTGTGGTGTTAGCCTTCATGTGGAAGACGCAGAATTTAACATAAGCTAGCTGGAGCCAATTCCCTTATATGGGCATTTGTTTCGACAGAGTTAGCTTTGTGCCATAACAAAGGTAAATGTGTTGCCAAGACAATTGCTAAAGTAAACTGGAGTTACCCCCGCGAATGAAGCTCTTTATCTAATTAGTTATATTTTATATGTCTCATCTGGATTCATAAAGACAATAACACAAAAAACAGAGTAACAGATCGCTAAACAAACAGATTTCTAAAGCACAAAATGGTGGATGTGACCCAAACGGTTACTGAGCTTGTGTCATGGTGTGGATTTTATTTTTGTACTCTGGTTTTATTTTGACATCAGTTTGGTTTTAGTTTGACTTCCTGTTCTGGTTTCCCCTGTCCTGATTGTCTGCCCCACCCTGATGTGTTTCACGTGTGTGTGTGTGTGTGTCTATGGCCCCGTCCCAAGACTCGCACTTCCACCCTCGCGCCCCTCATTTGCGCGTTCCCGATAAAGGGTGCGAGTGCGTAGGGTGTCCCAATTCTCCAGGGAGGTCTTTGGCCCCGCCCCCTTTGCGCCCCTGATCCTCACTTCGCCGCAGCCTGCATCTATGCGCACTCTGGCGAAGGATATTGCCCATAATTCTTTGCGGTACACATCAAAACGTCGGGAAAATGCATTTAAATATAAATTTTGAAATATATATGCAGTATGTGTGTAAATACGTTTTGCTATGTTACTTGGAAAGAAGCATAAACGTTTGATGAAGAATTACGGACATTGTGTTTTAACAATTTAATCACTTTTTAAAGCAAGCGTTTATATAACATTCAATTTAAACTTTACACTTAGTACAATAATCTTAGAATGTACTGTATAAAAACTGACCAGATAGTTAGTTACCAACATTTAACTTAAAATTATACAGCTATCTCTAATTAAAAACCACTAATATACATGTATTTTAACGTGTGTGAAGCAATTCATTTTGTTTCCCAAAGGGTCAGACAAAGTTACCTTTAATTTTTATAAAGTTTAGGTCTGAAAATGACCATCTCTTGACGAGTCGATGACGTCACCTGCACTCAGTGTGCACTGTCCCAATTCCGCCTTTTTTGCACACTTGTAACCTGCGCACTCCAACCCTGGTGTGCACTTCAAACAAATGCACACTTCGTAGAATGTACCTGTCCTCCTCTCCCCTTGTTGCTGGTCCATTGTCTTGTGCATGTCTGTTCCTGTTTCCTTGCTGCTTGTGCCTTTTGGATTTTGGGTTTTAACCTGGACTTTTATTTTGTCATCATTAAATAATTATTTTTTTGGCATTCCTGCATTTTGAGTCCTCCATCACTTCACCTTGTGACAGCTTGAGGATTTTACTTTTCAATGTACCTCAATAGAAGCCAGAGCGAGTTGGAACCGAACCTCGCCCGTGCACACTTCACTAATGGGCTTCATTGAGCTCGCGTTAGCATTAGCATTGTCCATCTATATACAGTCAATGAGAAAGAGAGTAGTTTTGGTAAAATCAAAAAACAAACTACTTTAAATACTATGCATGATTTATTGCAGAAAGTAGATCT